TTTTGCAGCACCTTGCTGCGCTTTCCTAGTACTGCCCAAATCCAGCCTCATTTGGAATTTTCGTGCATATGAGTTTCTGGGTGTTTTGGGGTGGGTGAGGGGAGGGGTGCAGGAGCGGGGTGGATTATGGATTGTCTGACCTGTAAGGAGGGAGGAGGAGGGAGGTGTGACACGTGGAAGGAGGGAGGAGGGAGAAGGGAAGCTATGGCGAACAGGGAGGAAGGGAGGCGATCTGGCAGGAGGGAGGAGGAGGGAGGGGTGCCACGTCGAAGGAGGGAGGAAGGGGAGAGGAGATATGGCGGGCAGGGAGGGAGGTGATCTGGCGGGAGGGAGGAGGGAGAACTATGGCAGGAAGGAGGAGGGAGGCACTCTGGCGGGAGGGAGGAGGAAGGACTATGGCGGGAGGGAGGAGGAAGGCTATGGTGTGAGGGATGACAAAAGCGGGATGGAGGAGGGAGGACTATGGCGGAGGGAGGAGGAAGGCTATGGTGTGAGGGATGACTATAGCGGGATGGAGAAGGGAGGACTATGGCGGGAGGGAGGACGGTGGACCATGGCAGGAGGTACGAGCAGAACTCTAACAGAGGTAGGAGGTAGGAGGCTACTAGGAGCACAACTCTAACGAAGAAGAAGAAAGAAAGAAGAAGAAGAAGACTATGGCGTCCAARACGAACTGAATAGAGTAAGGAGAGGAGGAAGACGAAGATGAAGAAGAAGGGAAACTTTAAGAAGAAACGATGAAGAATAATAAGATATAGAAGAAGAAGAAACGGCAAAGAAGAAAAAAGAAGAAGACGAAGAAATGACAAAGAAAGAAAAGAACACGACGAAATGGAGAAGAAGAAGAGGAAGAAGAATGAGACGAAACGAAGAAGAAGAAACGACAAAGAAGAAGAAGAAGAAGAAGAAGAAGAAGAAGAGAAGAACGAAAAGAAGAGGAAAAAAAAAAAACCTTGCCTGAGTGGGCGATGGCGGTGCAAGCACTCTTCCTCGGGGGCGAGGAGGATGGCGCGGCTTGACAGCGACGATGATGGCGCGGCCTGAGGGTGGCAGGGTGATGACGACGATGACTCGGCAGGGCAACGATGACGATGGCGCGGACGACCACGGCAGGGCGACAACGGTGTGGTCGACCGTGGCAGGGAAACGACCTGGCACGGGGGGCTAGGGCGGAGGGCACAGGGCTGCGCTCGGAGTCCCAAGATTCAAATTCAAAACCTTGGGACTTCCGCGCCGTCGATCAACGCAGATCGACGGCCCAGGTGCCAAAAAAAAAATAAAACGAAATGGGGCCTACCGGACCCCGAAAAAATTTGGGGGGCGGCGCTGTGGGGGCCTGGGTGCCTGGCCGGGGGGGTCGCACGGCCGCATGTCCCGAGCGCCCTTCTGGGCGACCTGGGGTGGCCCGGGCGCCCGGGCTGGAAAGCTAGCTAAGAAAGGCAAAGATCCTACTATAGATTGCGTTATTCCCGGGGGACCTCAAATTTAGGCCGGCGGGAGTGAAACGGTTTTCAGCTTTGAGGTAGCAGTTGCAGATCCCAGAGCTCGATCCTCAGACCTCGCCCTTACCCGTGTACAGTACCGATGCCCCGTGTGTGCTTGAACCCATGACCTGTGTTTTGAAAGCTGCCTGTTTGTTTGCTGTAGGTAGGGTGGTCGTCCGGTCTTGAACCGTAGGTCTGTAGGTTAGAGGTCTTAGCAGTGGTAGGAGTCGTAGCTGCTACAGTGTTGAAAGGTCAAGTCGTAGCTGCTACAGTTTTGAAAGGTCAAGCCGCAGTCGTCCGGATGTGCCAGAACTGGCCCTTCGTGAGTCATAGTAGTCAGTCCGTAGGCAAGTGGTCAAGTGGGTAGTCTTACCTTGCTTAGTCAGCGGTACCCAGTCCCAGTCGCACCTTGTCAAGTCAGCAAGTACCAAGTGGGACTGTGTGCACCCCGGGCCCGGTGGAGAGGGGCAGACCAGCAACAATGCCAAGTATAAATGAAGAGGCAGCGATCAGTCATGCATTCATTCTGCCTGTGAGCCGTGCGGAAGCGCTGTCGAAGTGTCTTGTGTGCGGAGGTCTGCAGGTGCCCGTTGACGAAGAGGGCTAAGAGGAGGAAGATTGGCCGTAGCCGATAGTTAGTCAGTAGAAGAGAGAGACGGCGGCCATAGTCGCCACATCAGCGAGATTAGATTATTAGTGTGTGTATGTGTGTGTGTATGTGTGTATGTGTGTGTGTATGTGTGTTATAAGCTTCCCCCACAACAACCCCTATTCCAACCAGATGAGTAGAACCGGACTGAGTCCGCCCAACACTTAAAAAAAAAAAAAATCCTCTTTAACAGGCAGCACGAATCATAATAGAACCATTTTGAACCGTGTTTAGCTAGGGTTTCTTTGGGGCAACAGCTCCTCTTTCACTTTGCCTCGCACGTACAAGGCTGCCCACGTTGATGGTGGTTGAGAGGCAGCTGCCCACATCCCCGTGTGCCTTAACGGCCTACTTGCACGTTATAATAAGAGGCAGAGTAAAGGGGAAGGTATGCTCCTGTGCACGTCAGTTCAGATCTTCATACTCCTGTTCATTTCACTTCAGATCTCCAGCTGTTCATTTC